TCAACACAGAGGGTTTTGGAGGACTATGTCAAGCTAGCACTTCATATTGCCAAAACCCTGATATATTTCCAAAAACATCTAGATGGGACTTCAGGTTCCATTAGCTACTAGCAAACAAATTGGTTTCATCAGCCTAATGATTAACTCTTGTTTGTAGCTTTTCTTATGTTCTTATTTGATGACATGGAAGAACAACGTATTTACCTGAGCATGAACAGTCTAGTAGGAACGTTCTCTGTTCAAGGCTAAAAAAGTTCAATAGTTTTAGCCTATCCAGGAATGTACAGTATCTGTTCCCTGTACAGAGCATCAATAATGTTTTTAAAATGTGGTGACCAAAACTGAATGCAATATTTTAAATGAGGTCTTAGTATTGCATCGTATAATTTTAACAAAACTTTTCTACGATTCAAAGTATAAATTTGTTTTTGTATCTCCATGTTATCAAGAAGGTGAAAATAATGTGCCAGCATAAACACCTTTAAGTCTTTCTCATAAGTATATTCTTCAAGCCTAGTTTCTCTTTTTATATCTATACTTTGTTTTTACTACCTCTATGTGATGCCCTGCACCTGTCTACTTTAAACATTTCCCAATTGTCTGACTGATCTTGAATCCTAAAACCAGTTGAATTTTATTCATATACAGTGTTTGCTTATCCTGCTATTTTGGGAATGCAGATCTGCAGTCGTGGCTAGTTTACTAACTATACCAGAAATAACCTGAATTTGAGCACTCTCTTTTTTCTGAACTGCCTGTTCTGTAGCCATTAATCAGTTCCAAACTCAAACATAAGCATTTCTCTGAATGCCTACCACCTGTAATTTGAGCATGAATATTCTGTGAGGAAAAACAGTATTTTTAAAACCTTATGAAAATTTAAATATAGCATGTCATGTACCCAGTATGTGTCGATTATTGTTTTTGTTTTTTCAAAGAACTCATACGTATTAGCTAGGACTTACAGTACCTAAACCATGATGACTGTCTACTAGGATATACAGTATGTTCTGACCATATTTTCTGTTATTGTTGGATTATTCAGCAAAAACTCAATTTAGCATTGGTGCACTGCTTAATTTAAAAGTTGACATAAATTTAAGGATTTTAATGATTTTTCATCTTGTCATAGTCAGCTCATGATCCTCTAAATATGTTAATGTATTTTCTACTGTCGATTTATTCTAAACTTGTAATTATTTTTTGCATAAGTTTCATTAATCATTGATGTTTGTGATGCGTAATATAGCCTTTTGAATGCCCCAAACTGAAGGAAATCAAGATAAAAAACAGAAATTAAACAATATGCCACACTTTCTAAGAGAAAACCTGCCACCAGTGCTTAATGAAAGAAGTAAACCTTTAGAAATATTCTCCTCTCACTTTACCTCTTTACGAGTTCTGGGGTAATAATTGGTCACGATAATGTTTGAAGTTAAAATGTGTTGCATATCCGTTTTTAAGAGATGGATCTTAATACTATCTGAAGCACAAGAAAAGAATAAGGAATGGGAATTTCATTAGCTCTTTAAAATGAAAAACTTGTTATTTCTGTCATGAGTTTTTGTGAAGATCTTTCAATTTGTGCTTTATCGTAACTGCCCTAAACAACCCAAATCAGAGGATCTAAATCACCCGTTCCAAATGTGTTGAAAAACTAAAAATTTAGTAGTAAATACTTCAAAATATAAAATTTGTATGTATTAATTTTTTGAATGAGAAAATATAGTAAACAAATTTTACAACATTAGCAATGTGAGGATTAAACATACAGTACAGATGCAGTTTAATTGACTAAAATGCTTAATTGATACAGAGAGGTGTGTTTCTTTAGTCATGGTTTGGTTGGTCTTTAGTTTGTATTCTGGGGTCAGTAGCTTCCCCCTTTTTATGATACAAGAGTTAAAAGCGCTTCTGCAATGTAACCCAAAAACCACTCTTGTCTTGGTGTTGTCTTCATATGTCAAGAATATTTATACAGCAAATGGCATTAGACCATTCACCTACCATGGTTTGGTTACGTTTCTCTGTAGTCCAATTAGCCAGTGGGACTGTTACCCCCCATCACCAAAAAAGAAGACAACTTGGCAAATCAAATCTAACCAGCATATCGTAGTCGGTGGAAGGGAACTGCAGTGCAAAACCCATTTATACATGCAATAGTTGCACATCAACTACCACTTTTATCACTAAGCCATTTAATTTATTTTCATTTCACACTTTTGGTACACTGTGTAAATGCCTGCATCAGAAAACAAAAATAACTAATAAAGCAAAAAAAAAACATTAAAAGAACATCTCAATTATATAATAAATGTGTGACCTTTAAAGCACACTTACATGACACAATATAAGGTAACTTTCCACCTACAAATGAGTGTTTATGAAAACAGCCAATATTTGTTGAAGATACATTTATTGTTCCATGTTAGCACATAGAATGACTATATATATTATATATATTACTAGCTACAGCATCTTACAAAAAATGCCAGAAAGCATAGAAAACTGACAGCCACAATAAAATGTATACATATGAACAGAGAGAGAGAGAGCTGAAGTTTTAGAAGAGTTTCTGGATTAGTCATGAATTAGTTGTAACACTTTTCTTACTAGGAACAATTCAGAATTTATCAGTTAAGCGGTGAAGGGAAAAAAAAAAACCTTACTGCATTTTTTTTAAACCATATCATTTCATATTGCATCATTTCAGGAAGTGCAACTATGTCATTAAATGTTAAAAATAAAAATTAAAAAAATCAGATAACACACACCTTACTTTCATGCAGATACCAGCAATATTTTACAGACTGGAATGATTATACATCAAAATATTTCCACTTAAGAAAATATCACAAATGGTCATTTATAACCAGGGATGGACTAATATAAAATATTTCATAGTATATTTAAAGATATTCAGATTTTTATTCCCCCTACAGATAATTGTTTTGTAGTATGCAATTTAAGGTGTTGTCATTCCTACGTATTGAGTTCCAGAGATAACTGCAGGTTTGTAAATGTTTTCCACAAAACAGCAGCATAAGAGCAAACACCTTGACATAGTCACAATTACGGTACATGACAGTGGATTGATATAATGTAAACTAATTGTGGGAAGTAGGTAACAGAAAAACATAAAAGAAAATCTGCTTAATAGGTTATTTTACATATTGGAAAAAGTGGATAATGGTAATTCCATGTTATAATATAGAATGAAAGACATAAAACATTTTTGGATTTGGAGTCTTATTCAGATGTGAGAGGGAGAGAAAGTAGCAGGAATATGAAGTGAAGGAGTTGGTAAAGAAAACAAGGAATGGGGATGCAATATGAAAGAAATGTGTGAAGAAATGGAAATCTGGGAAGAGGGAAAAGCTGAAATCTGTAAATGAATGGATATCTTTTTAAACATTAGTATTTTGAGTACTCGAGGAATGTGTGATCAGTTTAAGTTTAATTTGAGCCACATGGTGTCTTTCTAGAGTAAGAGTACTGGATTTTCTGTGAAAGGAAGCAGAGAGAGAGGTCAGCATAATCATGGCTGGAGAGGATATTTTCCCTGAAACTTGTAGCATTTATTTACATGTAGTGCTGTAGTGCTACAGTGACATCAGCATTGTCGTTCTCACAACAAACTTTGCAGGTAGACAACATAACCACACTTACAACCGTCGTGCCTACATTTGTCAGCAATTAAATATTTTAGTACTGGGAACAAGTCACATGTTTGTGCCTAAAGTTTTGCTTAGAAACTGCATGCTGAGATCCATGGTCATAACCTGGAACTAACAGGTGGACTTTCTTAAGGGCCAAGAAACCAGTTAAGCTATGATACTTTAAATCTTACATTTTGTAACCATAATCAAACATTACTTGTAACCAAGAAAGACGATAGGCTGAAGGACTGCTAAAGTTTTTGTAAGGTGACAAGTTTTTATTTTTCTTCTCTTATCAAAAATCAAGCAACCATACTGTACTTTTTATTGTGTGCCCACAGTGAGTTTATGCGCATGTATATTTCAAGCATGAGAGATGGCTAATTGCTATGAAAGCCCAAACTGCTAGACTTCCTTCAGTTGTGAAAGTCTCGTACGCACAATACAGAATACATTATTCATCGGCATTTGATATATTTTATATTGGTCCATCCATATCTGTCTGCTTTTTGAACCAGGAAATTCAGCAAGCAAACTTTTTTAATCACTTTAATTTTGAAATATTAATCTACATGCACTTTTCTTCATTCTGTGTACAATGATGGTATTGAAATAACAGGCACCAACCACTAACTACAACAGAAGCAGTGAAAAGCAGTGAAGAGATTTTCAACTAGGTGGTATTTGTATTCTACAATGAAACCAACAGTGTAAATATCACAATATATAAATGACACTGAGGTCAATGAAAAAAGAAAAAACGTCACCATTACATTTCGTCTGTTAAGACCAGTACGATAAAGGTAGTATTTGGCAATTTTTACAAGCATTTAAGAAAAACAAAAAGTGCAAACCTTAAAATAAGAAGTAAATAGTAAAACCTTCTCTAAGATCCAGCTCAGTTAAGATTCCTATATTCCCCAGTACTGTAGGCTAAAAGAGAAAATCTAGCAAAATGTTCATAAAAATTACAATATATTTAAAGACCATGAACCAAAATGCACATAATTATAAACGGAAGTTTTTTGACAGGTATGATACCTGTCATCATAACCCTGTCCCCTATTTCAATAATAACCGTAATAATTCTGGAAAATGGGTATTAACCAATACAAATACATAATCACCTTAAAATTTGGATGACTAAAACCTTTGTCCAAGACCTACACTGTAAATTTGAAAATTTTCTTAAAGAAAGGAAAACATTTTTAATGCTACAATGTTTTTTTACGATTGAGTTCAACATCCAGATTTTTTTCATTTTCATTTGTAGTAAGAAAAGTGACTTTTTTTTTAAAAACAATTCAGGTAATAAATGTACTTTTTCCATAAATGCTTGTCTTTTTTTTTTTGCTTTCAACTTAAATAACACATTTGCCAACAAACATAAAATAAGCTAGACAATAAAAGACACATTTTACCATTCTGTGCATTTGAGTCATGCCCCCGCACACATGATCATGATTTTGAAAAAATAAAATCAATCTTGGGCGTATTAAATAAACGGAGAAAGAGAGAGAAACAAAGGAAAACGAATTCTTTTCAACTCTGTGCAAAGTTTTCGGTACACAAAGTGTTCAGAAGGCTGGTGCAAATGAGATTTCAGAAAACGAAACTACCCAATTTGTGTGTTCATAAAACGCGTTCTGCTACGGCAGGAGCAGGAGACACAGTGAGTCACTGACAGGAGAAGAGAAAGGAGGCAGGCCTTCATCTTTTCCTGCGGCAGGTACGTTTGTGGTCAGCATGCCAGTGCTCCTGCTGACACTTGATGGAGCAGTACGATGTGTTCCAGCAACAGTGATACATTGCCTCCTCTTCACAGTTGTAACACTGAAAGACAGGAGATGGAATTATCTCCTCACTATACAAACAACCAGCATCACCTCTTCCCCTGTTCAGACACAGTTCACACTGTATACAATATCGATTCAAAACTTGAATAATGAAAACTGTACACCGAGGATCCACATAATTTACCACCTGTTCCTTTGGTCAAAGATAATGGAGCCCAAATAAGTTTATTGTGCAACTGTGTACCCTGCCCTTCAAGAGTACAAATGGTTGTCACCAAAATGCCCGTTGCCCATGGGTGCCATGTGTTTCTGCACCAATAGTTTCATGGTTTATATTCTCTACAACACCATACTTCAGCTAACCTCACACACTTACTGCACATACTTCAATGTGGAAGCAATGTTATTAATAAGATCATTGGGGCTGCCTGTTTTCTGTGTTCCTTTCTGATCAACCTCATCCGTGTTTAAACACATACTGTAAATGGTTATCTTTAGACATTTTAATGATAAGCTGTAACTCAAAGCTTCTCCATGTGCACACAGTGTTTGACTATTCACATGGCCGAATTTCTTTAGACTTTGTTTTACTGAAGACATCCTTATCACACTGATGAAAATGACACCAACTGCTACAAAATATAAAGAATTGTTTGGCTGGGATATGTTTTCTTGGATGCTGTTTAAAATGCATGGCTGAAGATACCCAACAGAGAAATCTTTTCCAAAAAGCAACAGCTTAAAAGATGAACTCTGTTTTCTGCTTTACTGTATGCATGACTTTCTGTCACAGTGTCACATTATCTTTTCAAAGGGTGCTTGTTTTAATATGACAACATTCTGTAACTTCTTTTTACTTAAAAACATGCATGTGGTGTTTATAAACTAAGCACATTGAGAGCCTTATTTTGGCAATCCAAAAGTGTTTAAGCAGTGCTGTAGTGGTCTACGAAGAGGGATTGATGAAAGCAATCCCTCTTCGGTAATGTTATTCATCATTTAAACTACTGTACCTCAGACCTGATAGCTCCTGACAGAAAAGTGGACTCTCAGTCAAGGGTACAGAGACCTTTAGGGTCTTCAGAAAGGATTTACAGGGGATTCCCAGGAAACCCAGGGAATGTTTTCATCCCAAAGTCTAGTAATATATAAAATCACTGTCTTATTTTCTCAGGCAAATCTTCGGTCTGACATTTAATTTTGTTTTGTGTATTTCATAATTAAAAAAAATATATATATCAATTATGTTAACATCAAGAACCCTTTATGAGCAACTGAGTTCTTGAAAATGGATCGTCAAAGTGGAGTTCAATCAGTGGAAACTGTGTTTTAGAAAGTGGTGAGTGAGCACTTACCCACTGCTTCTTCTTAGTCTGAGAAATGAGCTGTTTGTGCTGTGCAACCATTTTCTTGACTTCCTCCACCAGCTCCTCCTTGCACTTTTCTTTCACCTGTTTGCACTTCCTCTCCATTTCCGCTTGAACGTTCGCCACAGCCTTATTCACAGCCTGGCGTTTCTCCTCCTCCATCTCTGTGCGCAACTGCACATGCAGAAATAAGTGGACTCATATTATGGATTTTAATCTGAAATCATTACTTAACTGAAATTAAACATCAAACATCAAACCTGCTGTTTGCTGTCAAGTTCAACTGATATGCTTTCTTGCTTGAGCGTTTTACTAATTTTTTATAGTTTCTAATGTAGGTATTGTGGCTGTAACATAAGGAAATCCCACACAGTTATTTTGTTTTATATTTTATTTTATCTTTGCACCAAGCAAAGATTCAAATTACTAATTGAAATGACTAATTCTAATTCAAATTACTAATGGTCACAGGACAGTAAAATGTCATCTAAAGGATGCTTGGTTTCAGGTTGAAACGCCAAATAAACAGAAAATACGGCAACTTCAAACCACTTTCTTTTTTAGCTGGGGTGTAAAATGACACAGTACATTACATACATAATTAGATGACCAGCACAACTATTACACAGATTTTTTTCCTGTGCTGTATCTTCTCTAATTTTCTCAAACTCCAAGTTTACTTATTCAACCCCTCAAGTCACTTTAAGCAAATAAAATAAGTTTTGCAGGTCATCAGGCAAGATAAGAGTGAGGCTGAAAATCCTTGTGTCTTCTTTACCTTCTCCAGCGCTTCCCGTACAACTCTCTCAGTTTCCCGCTTGTTGTCAGCCTTCATCATTTCTTTCACGTCGTTGAAGATTTTGGTGTACTTCTCATGACACATGTTCTGGCACACGCCGTCATTGTTAGTCTGGGTGCTCCGATGTAGTGTTCTCGGTGAGGAGGCACTTAATTTTTTGGTCTGAGTTGAGACCGACAGCCTTTCGGGTTGGTGGGGAGTGGTGGGGATTTCTTGACTGGAGCTCACTGCTTCAATTTCTGGCTCTGGGTCCTGAAAGAAAAAAAATCAACATCGACATTAAAAAATCATTAATCAACGTTAGGGCGGAGGCTCTGTGGCTAAGGATCTGCGCCTGTGGCTGGAAGGTTGCCGGTTCAAATCCTGCATCTGGCAGAGGAATCCTACTCCGTTGGGCTCCTGAGCAAGGCCCTTAACCCCAACTGCTCCAGGGGCGCTGTACAATGGCAGACCCTGCGCTCTGACCCCAAGCTTCTCTCCCTGTCTGTGTGTCTCATGGAGAGTAAGCTGGGGTATGTGAAAAGATAATTCCTAATACAAGAAATTGTAAAGGGTTAATAAAGTAATGTTATATATATATATTATGTTAGATATTATAACATCCCTCTGTTAGACGATCACTTACTTTTCTTACTCACTGGATAAACACTAAAACGCCTAGCTTCCCTGAAAGAATCTGATCAAGAATGACCACAGTCTCTTTGGGGAATCTGAGTCTAATCAGAGAACAAAGGAGAGTGCAAGGGGCCTTACTTCAAGTGTGCAGAATCTTGTCAAGGGCAACCCAAAAGACAACTTTGATTCCAGCAATGGTAGAAGGATCGGGGACACAAACATAAATTAACCGAAGACGCACTTCAGGCGGAAGGAAGGATGCGACTTCCTCAAATTAAAAGTGATTCTCTGAGAATCAAGAACTGCTCAAGTTGATTCCCGCATACTGTTCCAAGAAATGGCCGTATGAGATTCTCAGTATTTTCTCAGTAAGCTTTGTTTCATTTTAAACCCCCTGTTATTCTTCTCTAGAGATATATCAGTGTTATTAATATTCAAAGTATAGTCCACTTTAGACCATTGTAAGCACTTACTTCTTCTTTGGGCTCTGTGTGTTGACTACGCCTCCCCTTCTTTGTTTTCGGCTCCTGATTAACCTTAAGCTGTGGAAGATAATATATTAATTTAAACACTGAGCTGAAAATAACTAAGCATTACTGTAATATTTATTATTAATAATACGTGGATTAGAAATCCATATATCACCCAGAAATTCATGGATATGAGTGTCCTAAGCAAGCAATGATGATATTGACAATCCCCAGTCTAATATTGAAGGAAACTCTGCTGCTATTATGAGTTAATCCCTGGTTTCCTTATGCGCATTTCTTAATATAGTGTGAAGCAATATGTTATTGAGCAATGATGATTAATTGGAGGAGGCATGACTAACTAATGTTTAATATAATAAGATTGCTGTTAATATGCCCAATTCTGTTCTTGCAAAACCAGCTTCTTTCAATTATAATTAAAGATTAAAGTCAGATTTAATTCAGAGGCTGTTCTATTTCCTGAACCACGCTGCCATCTTGTGCTGTTCCTGTACTAGCCTTCGTTTGCAGATCAAAACAAAATGAGCACATGCAAGTAATAAAATAATAAGTATTTATTTATGCAGTCCTGTCCACATTGAACCCCCCCCCCCATATATATATACTTTTTAAAATAATGGATCCTGGAAATGATACACAACTGGCCACTAGATGGGGCTTGAAGCTGAAGAAAAAAGCGATGAATTGTTTTCAATTCAATTATGTGGGGGTGGAATGGTGGCGCTGAGACCCTGGGTCCAATTCCAGACCTGTGGTGCTGTCTATGTGGAGTTTGTATGTTCTCCCTGTATTTGTGTGGATTCCAAAGACATACTGGTAGGTTAAATCACATTTAGGGAAAACTGGCTTCGGTGTGTGTGTGTTTGTGTTTGAACTGGCATCATGTCCAGGGTGTATCCTGCCCTGTTCCTGTTGTTTGCTGGGAAAGACCTTGACCCCATGTTGGATAAACCTGTTAGATAATGGGAGGGTGAATCGCCTGGTTCACATAAAAACGCAAGTTTCAGTCAAAGTCACCTTTTCGATTTCTAGTTGTTCGGGAAACAAAAATGATTCAACAATGACATAGATTTCAACGCAAGTGTTTCAAGGGCAAAGACTGAAAATACTCAAAGCTTTTGGTCTAAGAATGTTGCGCTCTCCTTGCAGGAAGAAGGGAGTCTGTCGGGGGCCAACCTGTTCGTTGCTGGTGGAAGAGATGCTGGACTCGGCCTCCTCTTCGTGCCTCTCTTCCATCTTAGTCTTCCAGAAGCGGCCTTCTCTCAGGAAGCGCTGATGCAGCTCCAGCTCGTCACAGGCCTTCTTCCAGCCCATACTGCGCTTCACTTGCAACTGGTGCACATTCACCTTGATATCCTGGATGTTCTCAGATGGGATCCAAGCCCTCCATAAAGCAGAAAATTACACTCAGTATGATAATGGTAAATGTCTGCTGCTCACAAATGTCCAATTCTTTTACAAATAACCACAAAATCTCAGACATCATTTAAAAAAGTCACATTAAATGCATCTGTAAGAAAATTAAAGGAATGTCTTCTGGAACTAACTCACAATAGGGTAATTCAGCAGTCATAAATACAGACATGTCTACATATTATGTTTTTTTTCATCCTGTCCTCAGTTGTTTGCTGCTGTGAGTCCTATCAATTATATCTTGCATTGTTGCTAATCAGATATTATTCAAGGTAATATAGGTAGAAAAATAACAGCTACTTTTTTAAATCATAAAGGCTCATATTTTAACATGGGTGGGTTTAGAAAATCCAGCAAATTAATAGACAGCAGGCCTACTGTCATAGAGCTACTTTAAGAAGGAAAATGAAACTGCCTCTTTAAGCAAACAATTTCACCACATTATTCTTTACCTCTGATGCTGATGACCAAAAAAACGTACATCCACTTGATTGTCTTCTCTTTGTAGGACTTTTGCAGGCCAATAGCCAAACCCTTTCATTTTGGCCCAAACTAATTCATGACTTGGCACCTTTATAAAAAGAACAAACCACCTTCATTATTAACCTATATTCTACTGTAATAAAGTCTCACTGTAATTATTTTATTACTATATTAATCAGGCTCCAGAATATATAATAGACAGTATTAAGAAACAATAGCTCTGTTAAAACACCAATGTTAACTATTTCCATGGCAACCAAGCATCGATGCCATATTTTCATTTTGAATATTATATTCATGCAGTTTTGTTCCTTCATTCTCATTTGAAATTGCACTGATTAAGGTTGTAAGAAACACATTTACCAACTGAAAAATGAAGGTTTGTACACAATTCTATGTAACATATAGTATGTATACAAGACCAAACAGTTTAATAAACCAAACAGTAAAACTAAAAATTTGTGAAGAAAGCAGTCTGCAATTCACATGCTCAAAAAACACAATTGTACAATAACCAGATAAAAATATCTGTAAAATAAAAACATAATTTAGAAACTAATGTCCCGATGATGATCGCATCCAAAACCTTATCTCTTATGATCACAGTTGTGAGTTGTCATCTATATATGTCCCATAGTTTAAAAGCATTTAAAAGCATGCAAGGTTAGTGTGACCTTAAATGTGTTCTTTGATTTTCTTTGGGTTCTGTTTTCTTCGGCTCAATGGATACAAGCTTTTTCCAACTGTACATTACCATTTACAATCAGACCTTTTTCCCCACTTATTCCAGTCCTCTTGTGCCAATTTAGACATTTTTTAAGGTTGGACTTAAAGTATCCCTTGTACATTCTGAACTAACAAGCAGGAGACTACTCGATTTAAGCTTACACACTGTCATGAAAATTGCCATGAAAATTCTCAAGAAGTTGGGTGTGAAGTATTCGGACTAAGCGTATCAGAGAAGCCTCTCTTCTACTAAAGTCACAATGCCTGGCATATTCTCAGAAGGGTGATACCAGCATCTAGAAAATCACACTTAGAGAAGCCCTAAACCTAATAAAGCAATGTTTAAGGTTTTAAAGAAAATAAACATATTTATTTTTATTATTTATCTTTAATTCTTTATTTTTTCTCTTTATTTCTTCTTCTTTAAAAGAAGATGTAAGTGGCATCAAGTGTGAAATATGTGGTATTTGTCTCACAACAAGGAAAACAAGGGCTGTAACCATTTCATGCCACATTACATTGAAGTGATTCCTGATCCATCTCCGAAGGGATGGCACTGAAACAAATGAATGTGTTCAGCCCTCAGCCACGGCACCAGGCCTGCTAGGAATGCTAAATATCGAAGAAATGAATGTAGCCATGAAGATAACATTATTCCATACTTACACAGGGGTAGCAGAACCAGCTATCAGGTCGTGCATTTGACAGATAGAAACAATTTTTGCACAGCTGCAGTTCATTAAGCTGAAAAAATAAAGTTCTGTTATTGCATTCGTATCAGGTTTTATGCAGATAACATGCTCAACATTTTAAAAGCTTAATGAATGTCAAGCCAGTTACTGACTAGCAAAAACAAAATCTGTAAAACAGGGCTACAAAACATCTCTTCTGACTATAGAAACTGTTCCAGTAGTGGTGTTACACCACAACTGGAGGAAGCCCAGTTGGAGACTGGTTTCAAATAATCCTGTCCCTGAAGGGACACTAAAGACCAGAAAAACCTTAATAATTCCTGGTTACAATATATAACACTACATACACTATAGATTGTTGATATAATATATAACACTTTAGTACTTTCTTGATAGGCTTAGATGGAAACTAGCACTTCAGCAACTTACCTCATGACATGTATCACTGTACAGCAACCGTGCAATTTCTGCCTGGTCACTTTGCACTGCAATAAAACAAATCATACTTCCCTATTAGAAAAGGCAACCTACCACATAGAGAAAAATGCATTTATAAACCTGAAATGTAACAACAAACAAACGTTCACTGGACACTGTATAAATCAGTACCAGACAAAAAGAAGTAGCATTGCAGTACACTGCAGTTTGTGGAATGATGATTATTCTCACCTCCAAACAGAATGGCTGTGTTGTGTACAATCAGCTGAGCGTCTGCTTTAAACTCCTCAAAGCTTTTGTATTTTCCATCAGTGACATTCTAAAACAACATCACAAACATTCACAAAGAGCTGTTAGTTCATAAGGCAGATGCATAACAGCCAGAATCCAGCAGAGGGCAGAGTAATATATGAACTTTGAGTAATTTACACTATTTTTCAGCTGAAGTTTGGCAATCTTAAACTTCAGGTTTTGTTGTGTGCCTGAGCATCCTTCAGAAACGTCTTACAGCAAAATTATTTGAATGAATATTCAATTTTCAATTTTATGTTCTCATTTATTTTTCTTTTTGGATGTCTTTTGCATGCAAGAGCTAAAATGTCCAAAAAAACAATAATATTATCTATATTACATGCATTCATTTTACTGTACAATGCAGGGAGGCGTACTAAACTAACCATCCTGTGGATAGTTATTGAAACTGTGGATTCTTATGAAATTAAAAATGAGTGGAGAATTTTCAGTCTCTTTAGCTTGTTTGGTTCCTAGTAATTAATCGACCAGAGGATCTCATCCACTTATTTTTCAAAAGAAGTAAGGTAGCAGCATAAACAATAGATCTGACCAGCTTATTTGAGACTCTTATAACCCGGTACAAATACAGATCCATGGCAAGTGACTAAGGAGGTGTCTATGGTAAACAAGTATGTTGTTACCAGGAAACTTCTGTTACATTTTGTTGAATGTCAGGTTATTTTCAGGTAATTTCTGATGTCTTTGTACAGAGTACAGTATATGCCTCAGTCCACTTGATTTTTATTATTACAATTGCATTACCTGAAAGAAATGAGCAACATCACAGTCGATGACCACCCACCTCCTGTATGTTGGAGACATCCAGCGGAGTGTGAATTAGTCTTCTGTACATGGGATGCTTGCCGTCCTTTCCTTTTTTATTCAAGTCTATAGCCTATTATTGTTGTTTTTTTTAATGAAAGAGAAGAAGAAATGGTTACTTTTGATCGCAGAATTGCTTGTTTTTTTCAACTGATGAAAAATATCATTACAAGTCAGTCACTTAAATAGACATCCATTTTTTTCACTGCCCCCTATCTCCTTCTTGTGCTGATCATTCCATAGTGATCAGAACCACTGATGCCTTAAAGCTGAGACTGGGCACTATAGTCCAGACTCCACTGGTTAAACGTGCAGTTGGCTGACTGTATCTGGAATTCTCCAAGCAGTGGTACAAAACTGGGCTAGGTGGTTTCGAGGGCTAGATGAACTAGCATCAGCTGTCCTATCCTGAAGTGTAATACTGATCCCTGCATTCCTTCAGACCACTGGTCACCCTCAACACTGCCCTCCACAAACAATACAAGGATTACTGCAGTTCCAAATAAAATAATATTTTTTGCATAACTTCTATGTAAACGTATGTGCAGTTTGCCCAAAAAGGCGAACAGTGTTCAAGTGCTTGATATTGTGAACTTAAAATGCTGTCAGCTCTCCAAAGAAAAAATACATCAATAGAACACATTTAACTAATTTCAAGACAGTTCAATCCATTTCTTTCTTATAAATTATTTTCAAAACTTTAATATTACATTTATAAAAGGTCAAGAAAGGAACTACTTCATTCTGTATATATTATGTTGAAATCGAACATATTCAATAATATACTGAAGAACAATGAAAAAACATGACTCTACATTTTATATCACTAGATCATGAAATGCAATTTATATATAGTGAAAAGATAGGCCTGAAGATAGAACAATGTTACTTGGAAAAAATACAACACATACGATTTCAAAAACACACCAGGTGTTCAGTGTAAGCTCTAGTAAATTCAAGATAAGTGGTAATGATCCCTTTGAGAGAAAACAGACAGTCCATGTCAAATAATACCTACAGCATGTACTACCTTTCTGTGCATACTTTCAGAAAGTGAACATTACAATAAAACAAGAGAAATGTTTTAGAAGAATTACCCTTTCTTTCATACGTTGTACGATGAACCGCAGATATTTGCTCATTTCTTGCTTGTTCAAGTTCTTCTTTTTGCTGCTCTGTTACAAAAAGAACAACAACAAAGCCTTAATTTCTAGTCTGATTTAACGGAGCGGTAGAGTACCACAGTGATTCGATACTGAGGGATATGGAGCTTGCTTGATCTCCAGGGGCCTGAGTGGGCTTCCTCTGGGCACTGAAGTTTCCTCCCGTCTTCCAAACAGACAAACTGGATATGTAAATTGAAGCATCTAAATATCTAATTGTTTCAGTGAGTGAAAGACCACAAAAGACTGGTGTCCCAACTAATTCTAGGACATGCTCTGGGTTGTCCTGACCCATACCAGGATACAGATGGATTAATAAAGCATCAATCAAAGTTTAATGATCTGTATTACTACATTTCTCCTCTCAACTCTTATCATTTCAATCTCTGTTTACATTTGTTTGCCATTTAAATGACTGAAATCATTTGCAATGACATCCACTGGCATGTATTCTTTGGGGTTTCTCGTTTCCACAGCCTTCCCCTCAGAATAAAAAAAAAAATCTTAAGATATCTATGTATTTAAAGTATATGATCCTTATCTCCCGATAGAGGATCATTTATTTTTTCACATGAAGGGTCAGAGGCTACTGTAATCAACTTTCACACTGCTATTTGGGAAGTCTAACAATTATGGAGAAAAGAAAAATTAATTTATACAATAACTACACTAGAAAAAGATACATTTTTTTCCAGAAACTGCGTCAAGACATTTGTGTTCAAAATTCATTTAAGCTGTTCCTGGGATTGACTCATTTTACAGAGGATTTTCAATTTTTCCATTTTATTTTACATTGGTCTTAAAATAATGACAAGCAAATGATTGTCTAGTTGGTCTCTAGGTGGGTGAAGAAACAGGATTTAATACTTCACATAAAAAAAAAACATCACAGAATTTAAATAATGAGCATCAGACACATAAAACATTATTTCTCTATGCATGTATGTTATTTGAAAATGTGTATGGTTTTTGGATACTGATGAAATTCGTTTTTATTTGTTCAGTTATCACTCATGACTAATGTGATACTCCTGAGTGACTTACTGTTGCATAAACACTAAGTAGCCTCATTTAAGAGAGAGATGATATGGCACACATGATGATATGAATGTCTAACCTGCTAAAAAAAATTAGAACAGAAAACACAGTAAGGAACAAAAGCCCGCTTATAAAGAAAATAAAGTCTTTGTATCCTTCAAAATGTTGTGCCGCTGGACACTACTGCTCGTTGTCTGGGGAGTTTGCATCCAGCAGTTACTCACCTGACAAGACATTACAGCCAAACACAGTTTGTCAATGACAGGCCACTACCCGGGTGACTACAATCATGACTTCTTGCCAAAATCGATGCATTATCATCTAAGTGTGATGGCCTGGGAAGCAGTGTCTACTCACAACAGAGCTCTCCTTCACAGTGATGGATGGTGACCTAACTGCAAGATGCACTATTGATTATGTCCTGGACCTCACTTGATGCCCTTCATGTGCACTGATCCTGACATGACACAATCACAGAAGGACAACACCTATCCACATGATGTTCTTGTACCCACAGCATTTTCACAAGATAAGAAGGTGACAGCTACCACACTGAACATTTGGGGTACAATCCGTGGCTCTACAAGAGGACTGGACACCAGCTGCAACCTAGTGCAAACCTCTTCAACACAAATGTAAAGCTTGTATTTCCTAGATCGGTAACCACACAAGCTACTAGTCTTTGACTTCCACTGTAGACCACCTCTTGATCAACACTGTTCTTGACAAATGTTGTTCAACAAAATTAATTTACCTATGTTATGTCTTTTCATCAGACATAAGTGCATATGCTATGAAAAAGATGTTGCCACCTTCCAGAGATTACCTTTATGAATGTTGCAGTTCTAATCCATGCGTTTCTTTTGTTTCTTCAATAAGGAAAACTGATGTGTTTTGTGTTTAATAATGGGGAGAGGACGACTTTTGAAGTAGGCTTTTGAATCAACGAGTTAGCAAGCACAGATATATTTAAAAAAAACAGGTCCATATTTCACAACATTTCCACACCTGGAGTATAAATATAAAGCAGACCACACTATGTCAAAACAGTCAAAAACACCAGGCACTGAATGATGGAAGATTCCTTCATGTACCGTACATAGCACTTCCTAATATATGCCAGGGTTCTGAATATTGCATTATAACTATCTAAACGCGATTTACACAATTAGGGTAATTCATTAAGAAAAGGGAGGCAAGGTGGTACAGTGGATAGCACTGCTACTTTGCAGAGCTGGGGCCCTGGGTTCAGCTCATAGGAGCTTGTATTTTCTCGCTGTGCTATCATGGGTATCCTCTGTGTACTCCCCCAATTCAAAGACATACTGGTCGGTTAATTAGCTCCTGGGGAAGTTAGCCCTGGTGTGAGTGTGGGCATGTTTGTGTCTGTGCGTGTCCAGGGTGTTTCCTGCCTTGCTTGCCTGTTGCTTGCCAAGATCAGCTCCAGCTCCCCTGTGACCCAGTACTGGTTAAAGCCAGCAGCCATATCA